GATGTTGGAGTCTGTGGCCATTAGAGAGCGTATAGACCAACTGAAGGCGTTAAATAACTGCAGGCCTCTGGATCTAATATCATGGTTTCCTCGCCATGAGATGAAACTAAAGTTTAGAGAGATTAGGTTTAGATGACTCTTAGAGATTATATGGCAAGCATATTAATCAAAGTCAGTGCAGAAAACAGAAGCCATTCCAGTTATTTTAAGCAGAAAGGAATTTTATACAGGGAATTAACTGTTCCTGAGATTGGTGAAAGAGCTGCAAGTGCAGGGTCTAGGCTAGGCCTGTAAGAATAGCTCTTAGAACGCTAGTAACTGACCCACTAAGGAGTTACTACTACTGTCACAACCAGAAGGCCACCGCAAGGATACAGAGTTCTGTGATCCAGAGGAGCTGAGATCTGGAAGTTACCTGAACAGGGAACCTACAAAATGTTTACTACCTCTCTCAACTGCATCTTAACAGCCGTAGAGCTGGTAACCCAACACTGCAATGCTGAGTCTGGCTGTCACCACTGCTGTAAGTGCCTCTAACACCCACAAAGCTAAAGACTGGGCAATGGCATCTCCTTGACCTTCTTTGCCTACAGAGAACAGCCCCAAATAGCAAGAAGATGGCCTCTACCTCACCCCTGTCTTCAAAATCTCAGGCAAGGGAGCTACTTGCCAGACCTTAATTTTGCATCCAGAACTCTAGCTGGAGGGTTGTCTGGGAAATGTTCTTAGCTTTTCAGTTTCTGTTGGAGAACAAGGCACAGCAGAAGCAGGTAGGAAGAGATGTGAGTGCCAAACTTCCACATCTAGCATAGTAACTTAGGTGTAGGCCCCAGGACTTAGACCTAGGTCACTGACCCATTTCCATTTATTCCATAATAAGTCTATAGCTTTCTATAGACTAAGTCCAGGATTACCTGGATAGTGCAAATGGTTAAGCACTTCATTACTAACCAAAAGGTTTGAACCCATTCAGAAGTGCTACCAAAGAAAGGCCTTGCGATCTGCTTTCTGCAAGGTCACAGCCATGAAAACCCTATGGAATAGTTCTACACTGTACACATAGGGGTGCATGAGTCAGGGTCAAGTCTATGGCAACTCTTTTTTTTTTTCCCCTTCTTCTTTCTTTTAATAATAGAAGTCCTAGAAAGATGGTAAAAATGTAGTCAACAAAGCTGTAATTCTGAAGATGTTAATATATTCTAGAAAAGATATTATGTTAATTTGTCACTCTGCACCATTAGTATAGAATGAATCACACAGTACCTAGTTACTTGTTTAGGGATAATCTGATCCATTGCATTTTCAGCTATTGAATGGTAAAACTGTATTTAATTAATATTTGTATCTTGTTCTCATAGCGCTTGGCACAGAGAAGACACATAGGTATTTGCAGAATTGAAATGTTTCATTCTTGACTTTTAGAGAAACAGTAAACCAGAATGTCATGAAAATACTGTATAGCAGTAATAACTGTGGTGGAGGCTCATTATAGAGAAGGAGCGGGGAGAAGGAGTTTCAGTCTTTCACTGAAGAATAGAGGCTGACCTGGCTAAGTTATCTGCTCTGTGGAAATTGAAGATTTCTTGAGGAGGGCTATAGCAAAGGGTAGCTTCCTGCTATTAATTTTTTTTTTTTTTTTTAGGGCAACAAATCACAGCAGAGGAGAGGGTGAAGAGGTAACAAGCTGATGCTTGTAAAGGAGCCATGGCCTGTAACTGCGCTTTGAGCAAGGTGGTTATATTCTACAGTCAGTAGGATCTGGTGGGTGTTGACTTGGTGCCCAAAGCCACAGGTCTGGCTGATGTGAAAACAAAAACAAAAACAGACTAGAAAAATCTACTCGCTAGCAACACTAACAACAGCGTGCGCATACACACACCCTTAAAGTGCCTGCGTATGCAGCGAGAAGAAGCTGCGCCCTCCTTTCTGGCCCAGGCATACCCACTAGTTTCCTGCCGCGGCCGCTATTTTTAAGTAGTCTTGGTGTTGTCCGCGGCCACTCACCTCACGATCTCCCGCTTTGGAGACCCGGCTCCGCCCAATCGATTTGGAAATACGCTAACAGATCTCCGTGGAAGCCAGCGGAAGCTTCTCAGCCAACGCGCGCTGGTTTCCCGGGTCTGTGCATCGCTCCCGGCGGAGCCCGAGCCCGAGCGCGAGATTAGCGCAGATAACCGGGCTCAGGGCGCGGCGCCGTGCGTCGGCGGTCCAGCCTTCTCTGAAAGTCTCCGCGCCGCCTCACTAAGGGAGCCTCACTGCCAGGGTTCAGATCCCGCAGCACTGGGCGTTCTGCTTCCCCACGTCCCGTCTTGCCCAGGGCAGTGGCGTGAGACCGACCTCTCATCCATCTCGCGGGACCCAACCACCGGGTCCACTTCCTGGGACCTCGGAGCGGGGACCGTGCAGCGTTTCAGTCGTGTTTTCGTTGGGTGGCTTTGCCCGCCTCCGGTGCCAGGGCGATTGCGTTCTCGCGGGAAGCTACTAGGAAAGGTCGCCCAAAGAGCGTGAGCCTAGGCGCCAAGTGATGAAGAAACTCTGGGCAAGAAAGCGCAGTGCTGGCTCTTCAGCAGACGGGAAAATGTTGGCTGGACAACTGGTTGCTTATTCATCGTTCATCTAAATCAATTTCTAAGAGCCCTGGTGGCACAGTAGTTAAATGCTGGCTGCTAACGCAGGGGTCGGGAGTTACACCTACCCATGGTTCTGAAGGAGAAAAACCCGCGGATTTGCTCCCATGAAGATTACAACCAAGAAAACCTAGTTTTACTTAATCATATGGGATCACTATGAGTTTGAATCCATTCCATGGCATCTAACAACTCAACTTCCACATATATTTTTTACTCTGTCTTTTAGATGTGTCTTCTCAGGAGTAGTGGGAAGACAGGATTCCTTCTTCAGGTGAGCAATTAAGAGGCAGGATAAAAGACTTGTGAATTTCGTCCTCCTACCTCCTCCTTTAACAGGAATCCTTCTTGCTATATTGTTCTTGATTTTAACACTTCCATCAGCAATTTCTTTTTCATTTATTTCTTACTTTCATTTCTTTGTCTTCCTTTCCTCTACATTTACCCCTCCAGCTAAGTGTGTGCGTGCGCGGGAGCAAAGGAGCCTTTTGGGGTAGTTATTTCAGAAATAAAAATTTTCTTACCTGTTTTTCACTCCTGTAAGCAAGTGGTCATGATTTATTCTGATCACCGATTTTCAGGTAAGAGGGACTATTTTCAAATAAATTTCTTCATTAGGTAGAAACCACTCATTCCTCTCTCAGTTCCTCTTCTTGCAGTGAAGAATGGATGAGGCTAGGACCAGCCCTACACATCTCAGTCCTACAAATCTAAGAAATTATTTTCCTAACCGGAACTCTTACTGTCCTAAAACTTGCAAAAAAAAACAAAAAACAAAAAACCCTAGCAACATCCAACTTCCTCTTACCACTGGAATGAAATATATTTTTCCTTTCTTTCAGTCATATGATCTTTGTGGCTACACTACACAATTTGATTAACAGTTTTGGCGAAAATTCAACTTTTTGGCTGAGTATTACTTTGTTCAATAATTTATAATGTTTTATATTGTCAGAGCTGTTTCTGAGAGAGAATTTGTTAATGTTTGTATCCATTTTGTACAATTCATCTTGGGTTTGTTTAAAATTTGTGTATTCCTCTATGTGGACATCTGTATCTGCTCACAGCATAAAGTAGTTCATGACTATAAGCTTCAGATTCCATATAGTCACTTGATAAAAAGTTACAGTATTTTGAAATTCAAGTCATTTGGCCCAACCCCCTCATTTCACAAACTAGAAAACTATTATCCAAGGTAAGTTGGGTGACTCAGCCTATGCCATCCATGATCTCACAGAAGAATAGCAGGTCCAGAACCCCAAAGCAAATCTTATACTCAATGGGCTCTTCTGGAATTCTGCTTAAAATATCCTTTGCTATGAATTTTAAAGAGCTCTGGTAGCATAGTGCCTAAGGCACTTGACTGCTAACCAGAAGGCTGGCGGTTCAAACCCACCAGCCACTTCTCGAAAGGAAGATGGGGCCATCTACGTCCATAGTGATATTGCCCGGGAAACCCAAGGAGGGGTCTCTATGAGTCGGGGCCGACTCGATGGAACATAACAACAACATGAATTTTAAATAACCTTCATCAATAGCATAACATTCTTCATACCTAAAATTTTATTGTTTCATTTTCCATTTCAAAATTTTCACTAATGCTAATTAATATTCTAGAAGAAAAGTGTTAAAAATAACTGCTCATTTGTGGAATATAAATGGGCATCTTACTGCATGGTCTTTTGAAGTAGAAACAAATAAACCAAAAATACGTTATCAACTACTGAAGCTGAAAATAATTTTTTTCTCTGACAATCTATTACAGAATGATCATCCATGAATTTACTTATACATTTTATTGAAAATTTTATTTTAATTGTATAATTTTAAGAATAGGTTTCATGTGTTTCTGTCCTATTGTATGATATACTTGTATTTATTTATCCAGAAACTATTTCCAAATTTCATGTCCTCTTATCTGTTATCCTGGGATTTGGTGAAGAAATTTATATTTAATCTATAAAATATCTGTCAAGCTAAGAATATTGCCAATCAATTAACTGTATGTTTCCTGGACTCATTTCAAATATCATTGACTATTTTATAAGGAGTGTTTAATTAGACTAAGAATATAGTACTTAATTAAAAGTGATGATGTCTATCATTAGGTACACTTGATTACTTTTAACTTAACAGATCAACAATATATTTCTAAGTCTAAACTCCACTTACTATTAAGTTATATACTATTTAATTTATATACTCTTCCCTTTGGTATTCATTTATGATAGAGTAAATTTTTAAGTTAAGATCTGTATATGGACCTACTACAGACTTGCATAAAATATCTGAATACTGGAAAATAGATATAAAATACAAATTAGTAACTTTTTTAAAATGTCCTTTTCCTTCAAATTCACATTTTAATTTTATATGCTTATAAGTTGAGATTTATTTTTAAAACTAATCTCTTGCGGTGAGTTTAGTGTCTTTTATGTCATCTTCCTACAATGATTTCAGAAGCAAGTAGATTAATATATTTAAAGAATCAGATTCCGGTGAACAATGATATTATTTAAAAGGGCTTCTTTTCATTAATATGCCAGTAATAGGAAGATAATCAGGAAGTCTTCTTCATATCCGGCTCACTGTGGATAGGAAGGGCCTCCCTTCCTTCCCTGAAGGAGATCCTTGAAATCACAAGCTCCAGCCTCCATCAATGATAACAGGGTTACCTGTTACGTAGGCCGACTGCAGTGGTAAACACAAGGAGATAGAATCATTAGATAGGTTTAACACCGGCTATATTTCTTACATGTTTCTATGACTGGGATAGCTAAACAATTTACTTTCCTGTTAACAGACAGTATCACCTAACAAATAGAATCCAGGAAAATCTAAATTAAAGTTGTAGTCATTTAGAGATGCTAAGTGTTCTGGTGATCTGGAGCTAGCTAGATGGCTTTTGGCTGGGATCTCAGCACATGTCACATTCCAAGCAGGATCTGTCTGGTGTTTGATCTCACAATCAGAAAATTAAGAATTGTTGATATACAGCCATTCTCAAAATTAGGATAAAGCATAGGCTTAAAATAGCACATTTTCAAATTGAAATTCAGAACTATTCAAAACTAGATGAGTTTTAATGTCACTAATAAATTTTGAGCTTCTATAGTGTAGTGCCTAAGGCACTTGACTGCTAACCAGAAGGCTGGCAGTTCAAACTCACCAGCCACTCCTCAGAAGGAAGTTTGAGCAATCTACTTCCATAGTGATACCACCTTGGAAACCCAAGGAGGGGTTGCTATGAGTCGGGTCCGACTAGATGGCACATAACAATAACAGCATCAGTCATAAAGGAGCTCTGGTAGTGCAGTGCTTAAGGCATCTGATTGCCAACTAGAAGATTGGTGGTTCAAACCCACCAGCCACTCTGTGGAAGCAAGACTGGACAATCTACTTCCAAAGATTTATTGCCTCAGAAACCCAATGGGGGTCACTATGAGTTGGAATCGACTCATTGGCAGTGGGTTTGTTTTTTTATTTTATCAGCCATAAAGTGCCATCTCAATTACCAAACAGAATATTAATATATCTTACATATATAGGTTTAGTTAATCAGTCTACATAAAGAATGCTAAGAGCTGAAATGTTTAAATTTTACGTGAGGAATAAGAATTATAATCTATTAAGGTATGATAATATATTCTGTATTAGTTCCAGATATCCAAAACTGTAAAACCTAAATGATTGTAAAAATAATTATTTTCCCATATAATTTTTAACTTTCTAGAGAATCAAAGCTAAAGTGATTTTTAAGTGGTAGAGTCTTAAAAATATTTTTACTTAACATGGATAATAAGACTCAAATTTCTGCCCTTCATTTTAAATTCAGTTAAAGCCAGCAACAATGTGAGTGGTAGCAAGGAAGCAGCAAGGAAAGGAATTATGAGTTCAGAAAAATTTTAAAGTTCAATATGTGAAAACTGAGCATACAAAGTACAAAACCTAAGGAGTTTATTAGTCACTTTGCCAAAAAAAGTCCCCAACCTCTTCAAGTACTTTTAAATGGGAAGTTCTCTGTGGTATATATGTATTTTCCATGGCCCCTCTTAAAAGGCCAAAAGTCCTTTTGTTACACATTTCGAGCTGAATTTTTCCAAATATTCTGTAAACTAAAAAAAGATCCAATGAGCTCTTCTTAAGATATGTTGTTGTTGTTGTTATGTGCCGTCGAGTCATCCCTGACTCATAGCGACCCCTCCTTGGGTTTCCGAGACAGTATCACTACGGAAGTAGGATTGCCCAACCTTCCTTCCAAGGAGTGGCTGGTGGGTTTGAACCGCCAGCCTTCTGGTGAGCAGTCAAGCGCCTTAGGCACTATGCTACCAGAGCTCCCTCTTAAGATATGGGGTCAGAGAAATCACAAAAGCTACCATAGTTGCTCCATTAATAATTTTTCCAACTATTAGCAATTGTTGTTAATAGCTCTGGGAAATGGTAACTGCTTTGATAATAAAATAATTTTAATGTTTTAATTTGTCACATTCACCAATCCCCTGGTGTGCTCCAAGTTACTGCATAGAGGTGCTTATAGAGCAGCAGTGCACCTCCTTACTCTCACCTACTCCCCTTTCCTTCTTCTCATACATTACAGTTCACTGGTCAAATGGTATTCAGATGTAATATAAAACAAAGGGCAATGTTCTCATGCTCCATACTTTATAAATATAATTCCTGCTATCTCAGCTACAAGCTATTTAAATACTATAAAATAGCTGCTAAGGAAGAAACTGGTTACTGAAGAGATGTAAAGTGAAAAGAGAATTAAGAATTTCCATATATGGCCATATTCCACATATGGCCAAAAGAGTTAATAGATGAAAAGAGCCAGTGGAATTCTTCTAAATAAGTCACCAGTAAAACTAAAAACACCATATGCCAATTCTTTATCCCCTGAATCTCACCTGAAGTGCTTACCTAATTTTGGAGGTTCATTTGTTTGACTTGCATCTAATTAGGGTTTGTTTCCCTGGTTGTAATTCTTGAAAGCAATTATCTCTCAAAAAATTGATCAATTTAATCTTTTTCAATCCTCTATTTCACTTGTTACAGAATTTAGTGACATGTAAATTTGGATGAAAGGGGCCCTGGTTGTGCAAACAGTTAAATGCTCAGCTGCTAACCAAAAAGTTGGTGGTTTTGAACTCACCTAGGCACTCTCTGGGAGTCTGCTACCATAAAGATTACTGCCAAGAAAACCCCATGGGGGCAGTTCTGTTCTATCACCTGGGGTTGCTAAGGTTGAAGTCTACTCACTGGCACTGAATAACAATAACAAATTTGAATAAGGAAGAGTTAGCGGGTCATATCAAAGTGGCCTTTCTTTGATCAAATTAAATAAAAAGTTATCCCTATCTTGTAAACATAGCACCTAGTATAAATATACTATAAATTCTCTAAAATGATATTATTTTAATGAGCAAATTGTGGCCAAATGTGATTCAGAATAATGAACTCCCTGGAAGAAGAATGCTTACTTCATCAGAAGCCAAATAAACACAGAGCTGGGCTACTTCTTCTGCAGTTGCAAATCTTCCTGTCTTCTGTCTCTTCAGAAAATCGCTCAGTGCCTGTGACCAGAGACCATGTCAGACATCAGTGATGTGAGCTCAAGTATATACCAGCTGGAACTCCTTCAGGATGTCAAAGGCAAGAGGAATCTACAGAGGTACCACTGGCTTGCTACCTTGATGACTTATGTATAATATACAAGAATATTAATTATGGATCAATCTGGTTTATGGTGACTCTTTCACCCACACTACTCAAACCATTTGTGTTATTAAAACGTATAGACACTATGAGAACAGAGAGTTGATATTAAAGAAAAGGGCATGTATTAACAAAAGGTTTTAACACAGCAGACATACCTCTTCAGGATTTGGTCTGGCTTGTATTCTCTCTTGCAGAGATGGGGTATCAACCGTTCCTAAATCAAAGGGGAATATCTAGTGTGGTTACTTAAACTGAAAAAAGAAGGTGATAATTAAACTTTAAACTTCATTTCCGTATGATATAACAATCAGTGAAATCTTTCTCCATGAATTAGAATGACACTTTCACCTCTCCCTGGGCCATCCTTTACTTGATAGGCTTATAATTTCTTTAACAACATTTCCAAGATTTTTAAAAACACAAAGTTTTTCTTTGTGACAGTAAGCAGGGACTGGGTGAATCATTCATCACTCCCAGGTACAAGTATTTAAATCATATTACATTTATATAATGACTTATGGTTATTCAAACCAAAACAAACCAAACTCACTGCCATCCAGTCAGATCCAACTCATAGCAACCCCTCCTTGGGTTTCTGAGGCAGCAGTATCACTACGGAAGTAGATTGGCCAACTTCCAAGGTGTCTGGTGGGTTTGAACCACCAACCTGCTGGTTAGCAGTCAAATGCCTTAGCACTGTACCACAGAGCTTCCCTTATGGTTATCAAGCACTTTTAAATGTATTACTTCATGTAATCCTCACGATGCTTTGTCTATCAGTTTGTTGTATTGTGGTGGCTTGTGTGTTGCTGTCAGGCTGGAGGCTATACCACCAGTATTTCAAATACCAGCAAAGTCATCCACAGTGGACAGGTTTCAATGGAACTTCCAGACTAAGACAGACTGGGAAGAAGGATGGGGCCATCCATTCTGAAAAAAGTGGCCAACGAAAACCTTATCAATAACAGTGAAAGACTGTCTAATATATTACTGGAAAAATGTATGAATAACCCTGAAACATTGTCTGATATAGTGCTGAAAGATGAACCCCTCAGGTCAGAGGCACTCAAAATGCGACTGGAGAAGAGCTGCTTCCTCAGAGTAGACTCGACCTTAATGATGTGGATGGAGTAAAGCAAGCTTTGGGACCTCCATTTTTCTGATGGGGCACAACTCAAAATGGGAAGAAATAGCTGCAAACATCCATTAATAACTGGAACATGGAATGCACGAAGTATGAATCTAAGAAAACTGGAGGTTGTGAAAAATGAAATGGAATACATAAAGATTGATATCCTAGGCATTAGTGAGCTGAAATAGATTGATATTGGCCAGTTTGAATCAGACAGTCATGTGGTCTACTATGCTTGTTGTTATTGGTATGACATTGAGTTGGACCTGACTCATAGTGACCCCTCCTTGGGTTTCCGAGGCAGTATCACTACTCAAGTAGATTGCCCCATCTTCCTTCTGAGGAGTGGCTTGTGGTTTCGAACCACCAGCCTTCTGGTTAGCAGTCAAGTGCCTTAGGCACTATGCTACCAAAGCCAGGGATGACAATTTGAAGAGGAATGGTGTTGCTTTCATCATCACAAAGAATGTTCCAAGATCTATCCTGAAGTACAATGCTGTCAGTAATCGGATAATATCCACACGTCTACAAGAAAAAACAGTTAATACTACTATTTTTCAAATTTACCACCAATCACTAAAGCCAAAGATGAAGAAATTGAAGATTTTTATCAACTTCTGCTGTATAAAAATGACCAAACATGCAGTCAAGATGTATTGCTTATTACTAGTGATTGGAATGCAAAAGTTGGAAATGAAGAAGAAGCCTTGGTAGTTAGAAAATATGGCCTTGGTGACAGAAATGATGCTGGGGATAGCATGATAGAATTTTGCAAGATGAACGACTTATTCATTGCAAATACCTTTTTTCCAATGATGGCAGCTATACACATGGACCTTGCCAGATGTAATACACAGAAATCAGATTGACTACATCTGTGGACAAAGGTGATGGAGAAGCTTGATATCTTCATTCAAAACAAGGCTAGGAGCTACTGTGGAATAGATCATCAATTGCTCATATGCAAGTTGTAGTTGAAGCTGAAGAAAATTAAAACAAGTCCACAAGAGCCAAAATATAATCTTGATTATATTTCATTTGAATTTAGAAACATCTGAAGAATAGATTTGATGCACTGAACATCAATGACCAAAGACCAGATGAGTTGTGGGATGACATCAAGAATATCATACGTGAAGAAAACAAAGTCATTAAAAAAGACAGGAAAGGAAAGAATGACTAAAATGCATGTCAGAAGAGACTGTGAAATTTGCTCTTGAATGGAGAGTAGCTAAAGCGAATGGAAGAAATGATGGGATAAAACAGCTGAACAGAAGATATCAAAAGGCAGCTTGAGAAAACAAAGTGAAGTATTATAATGAAATGTGCAAAGACCTGGAGTTAGATAACCAAGGGGAAGAACATGCTCAGCACTTCTCAAGCTGAAAGAACTGAAGAAAAAATTCAAGCCTCAAGTTTCAATACTGAAGGATTCAATGGGTAAAATATTGAATGATGCAGGAAGCATCAAAAGAAGTTGGAAGGAGTTCTAGTGAGATGGTAGACTAGGCAGAAAGACTGCACAGACCATCGTCAACAAAGAAAAGGGAAACCAATTAACATAGACACAGAAGATAATCCTGCACCCCTGAGCCTTGAAGGGAAGGATGTAGAAGTGGACTAAACCCCAACTAGCAGAAGAATTTGCATGAAAATACCAAAAAAGGAGACATACAGAGCTGCGGTCTGGCAGCAATCCTGAGTGATCCTGACAGCCCAGCACAGACAGCTTGGAGAGTGCCAAGTGGTGGTAGGACCTAAGAATTAACCTAAAAATCAGCTCTGTTAGCCAGGGACTGCACAGAGGACTGCTCTGGTAGCTGGGGTATAAACAGAGAAGGCGAAGAGAAAGCGGGCTGAGCTTTGGACTTTTGCCTGTCCAGAGAGTGCCACCATTTTGAATGTTTACAAGTGGTTTGACCATTTTGGATATTTAAAGAGACAGACCTCTTTGAGATTCCAGGGGCTTGAGAACAAGTTCTGCTTGCCAGCAACCCCAAGGACACTCCAGATCTACATGGCTGAAAAGGTGTGACATTCCTCTTGTTACTCTTATATCCCACACCCGCGTGATGAACAGAGGTGCGGCCATCCCTCACTCGCACCATTCTGGGCGTAAAGGAACTCCATCCTAGTCTATGTGCTCAGATGGAGCCTGGGTGCCCTGCCCTGTCCTCCACCAATTTTTTTCTCTATATTTTTATTTTTTCTTTTTTGCTTTCTTTTTTCTGGTGTTTCATTTGCTTGTATTCGTCTGTTTTAAAACTACTATTATTGATAATACTTTTGTCCTTTTTACTATCATTCTTTATTCTTCCCTTCCCAGGTCCCAGTTTTCAGCTTCCTTTTTTTTCCCCTGTTCCTGGTTGAAATTTCTTCTTTTTTTAATTTAATTTTCTTCCCCTTTTTTCTCATAGTTAACCCCATTTCTTGTTTTTCTTTTTGCATTTTCCCATATATTTCTTCATTGTTCTCCTTCTCTACCTTTTTTTCCTCTTAGTGCCCTATCCCCAGATACTGCAGGAGTTTTTTTCTTCTTTTTCCTTTGTGATTACATGGTGTGTTTTTTGTCCATGTGCTTTTAGTTTTTTGATTGTTATTCAATTGTAATTTTTGTCTAACTGAGTGGCAGACAGCAATAGTCCCCATAAGACACAACTACACCCACACCTCCTGCAACTTCACTTATTGAGTGAGAGCCACTACACCTCCTTCTCCACCAATGGGCCAATGATAAAACACCACCAAGAAGAGCCTGAACGACCCTTAGGGGCTCTTCACAAACAGTTAAGGGAGATCTAAATAATGCCACGATGTCTCGGAGACAACAGACCATCACAGTCTACACAAAGAAGCAGGATAAAGTGGTAGAAACAAGGGAGCAGGATATAGACCCAGAACACATCCCTGAGGAAGAAGCAGTATTGGAAATCTCTGATAAGGAATTCAAAAGAATTATATTTAGGTATCTTCAAAGGATTGAGAGACAGACCAAAGAAAACACAGAAAAAACCTT